GGCAGACCTCTGGCAGAACTGCACCTCCGGTAGCGTCTTTCACTGCCTGACGTCGTCCACGAACGGTGAGTGTTCTCTGGCAATCGGGGCTGTTGCTGCCCGTCACTTTTATTCTTCTCCCTGGACTTAGGAAATCAAGGGGGATTTGCCTGTGCAGGTTATTTGTGATTCCCTCTTGCTTTTCCCTGCATCCCCTCAAGTTGTTCCCTCCCACCCCTTCCCCTTGCCTCCTCTGCTCTGTCCCCAGATGGAGGGGCAGGCCTCCACTGTGTTCCTGGTGTCCTGGTTGAGGGGGACACAGGGATGGCTCAGCAGTGGGGGGGGGATTGCTTCCCCCCAGCCTTATCAGTCCCTGAAGTTGTGATGGGGCTTAGCATGGGTAGCAGACCCAATGCCCCCATGCTGCGGGGCAGCTCCTGGCAGCACCGCAGCAGGGTGTTTGGCACACTCGGCTGCAGTGGAGGTGACCGCCTCAAGTGCTTTTTTGGTGGTCTCCTGTTCTTAGCCCATTTTGATTATGCCTGGATGTATAAACGTGAGGCAGTCCTTGGGGCAGGGCTCGCCGGGCACCCATTGCCCTGATGGGAGTGGAGGGGCTGTTTTCAGCACGCCTCCTTCTTGCTCTGGTTGTGAGGGTGTTTTGAAGATGCACGTGATGCCCTGATGACAGCCTGTCTCTGGAGAACACCCTCTCCCCTACCTAGAAAGCTGCCGTGTTTTTTGATGCTGCGACAGGCTGAGTTTTTGGCGCATGCTCCTCGCTCTGTGGTTCGCTGCTGAGCACCACGTGTGGGATGTGCTGAGCCCTCAGGCCCTGCCGCACCCTGCTGCTGAAATGGCCCCTGTGGCACCTGCACATCTGGGGTGGCTGAAGAGCCGCCTCTGGACTAAGGTGGGTGAAGGCTGGTGTCATGCTGGGTGACATCACCCAGTGAGCTGTTTGAGGTCAGCAGGGGACAAGTGCTTGCTAAGATGCCGTGATGCAGTTTCCAGGGCACCTAGTGGTACCCGTAACATGAAATCTGTGCTCAGGGAGTCAGGCAAGTCTGTGCCTCAGTTTCCCCAGATGACAGGACTAATGGTGCTGTGTCCAGCATTTTTGTTCAGTTAGCCTGGTTTTTGCTTTCCCATGGAAACAGATTCTCCCAGTGAAACCAGTTGTGAATCATACCGATGTCACTGGGAGTACAGTCACACTACGCCGGAAACATGGTCCTGGCGTAGGAACAAACCAATGCCACGTGGTCTTGGCAAGGAGGGAATGGTCACAGTAGAGAGCACTAAATGCTTTCAAAGGGTCTTGTGGTGAGGGAATACTGTCAGAGGTTTTTGGAGATTCAGGTCACCCTAATCCCCAGCCTGCTGGGAGCAAAACACTCGTGGGTGCCCCAAGCGGGGAGGTGGATGCTGATGCTCACTCTCCCTCTTATCTTCCCTGCGCTGAAAGCAGTGGCATGTTTCCCTTCTTGGGCCCAGGCTCTGGTTTCGGTGGGAGCGAAGCCACCGCCGCAGGTCTCTGCTGACGCCTGGTGGTGTCCGGGCCGGCCGGGAAGTGGCTGGACCCTGTCCCAGCTGAGGAGCCTTCTGGAGCCATGTCCTTCATCAGCAGTTGGCTGGTGCTGGCTATCTGCAGTGTAGGCAGGCTGCTTCATGGCCATTCATGCATGCTCCAAAACTGCTGACCTTGTGCTTTGGAATAAAAGGCAGCGATTGCGCCCTGGAGTCCCAGAGCCGGGGGCTGTAAAGCCTGCCCAAATCTTTTGCTTTTCAAACCTGCACCACTTTTTTCTGAGTGCTTGCAGGATGCTGCATGTTGGCGAGTTGTCAATGTTGAGGGGTTTGTCCGTGGTTGGGATGGTTTCCTCCACATCAGACTGTCCTGCTGGGTGTTGTGAGTCTATATTGCCCTATTCCCAGAAGCTGCTCAAAGACGGGCTTCCCTCTGGATCCTTTCAGTGATTAATTTTTACCATTAAAGGGGCTATATTCAAGATGGCCCTGCTAAAAACGCAGTCAAGCAGCTGAGTTTGGTTGACAAGATGCCCCAGTGGGCTGCTGTTTGAGTATAGGTGCATTGTGCTCAAGTCTGAAAGAGCCCTCTGACAGCTCTTACTTGTATGAAGGCTCTGCTCTGGCATCATGAAAAGGGGGTTTTGCTTGGGCAAAAGCTTCTGCCCACTCCACCCCGTGGCAGGGGTGTGGGAGCAGTGCTGCTGAGGACCAGTCTTCATCTGGTGGGATCCTAGATGCAGGATTCAGAGCTCACCAGTGCTGTAAGAACACAAAATCAAAAGATATTTCCTAGGCTTATGCAAGGCTTTTAGAATCTGTTTGTAAAAACAGAATAAAAATACCACACAGCATCCTTTCCAGTGGATCCCTGCACCCTCCCTCCCCACTGCCCATCTCCAAGGCCCTTGGTCCCACTCCCCCTGTGCTGCCAGGGGAGCTGTGGTCAGCCACTTATCGGAGTGATAGTGGGGACATGGGGCAAGGATGCTGCGGCAGGGCCACCTCTGAGGCTCATGCTCGTCCGCTGCCTGGTCCTTGTTATGCTCCTCATACTCTTTTTGCTAGGAATATGCTTACTTTCAAAAATATGAAAGATCCTATACCAAATACCGCAAACTGTTCTCATTTAAATCTTTTTCAAAACACAGGCTGTGCATGCTACACTGGGTTGTAGAAAGCCTTAAGAATTTGTTTCTCTGTGCCTCTGCCAAGGACGGTGCTTAACGGTTAATCGTAGAGTGCCAAGGTCTGCTCTGGGCTAAGAGCAAGAAATCCTCGTTCCGGAATTTTGGCAGAACTTGATCTTTACGTAGAGGCAGTTTTTCCTCTGGCCATTGCAGTGGCCGCTGTAGCGCAGCTATTTCTTCCTTTCTTTTTGAAAAGGAGTGGTACTCAGTACTTGGAATACGTAGAATTCAGTAGGGCTGGGTCTCATGTTTTCCGCGTGGATGGGGGCTTTTGGGGGATTTGCCATAGCACCAGGGTGGTGCGTTTGTTGTGCTGTGATGCTTCTCTTGGTCTCAGCGTGGTGAGGATGGATGGAGCCTCCTCTCGCCCACTGTAGTGCCGCACAGGGACCCATTTGTTTAGATGACCGTTATTTGGATGCCCGATGAGAAGCTGAACGTGCCAAAACCAGGTACCACCAATATTTGCTTGTGTTTAACACTGGGGCAGGTTTGGGACCATGCTGCTAACCTTACGGATTATCCTGTGGGGATTGAATAAGCAGCAAAACAACCCAAGGGTTGACTGCAGGAGGACTGTCGGACTGTGGCTCCCTGAGACGTTAGCAGACCTTGGGCGCAGGATGGAGTTGGCCTCGGTGGAGGCTGAGCTCCCACCTCCCATGTTCTTCTTGGCATGGCTTGAACACGCTGTGTGTGCGAGGGCTGAGCGGTCCTGATGGGAACGAGCACAGGGAGGGAGGAGGAAACACCGGGTCGCAGACAGATGCCCCCTTCTTTGTCTTTTACAACTGCCTGCTTGTTGCTTTGATTTCTGCTTTTGCTTGTTAGATAATGACTTTTCTTTTTCAAGAGGCCTAGAACTATGGAAAAAATGTGGCAATCTTTGCTTCGTTTGCGCTGTCAGACATTCCTGGAAAAGACTTATCTCAAGAATTCAGCTCTGAATCCAGAATTGTGCGTCGGCACGGCTGCATACCAGCCCCCAGCTGTGCGGTCCCACTGCAGACACAGGGCACACAGCTGGACCTGAGCTGCTCAAGTGCTCTTAAGTAGATTCTACCCCAAATTTCCAGACAGAGATATTTTTTCCTCCAAAAATGGCCTTTTCTTTCCACAATTGAATTTTTTATGCAGGCAAGAAGATTTTTTTTCCTGCTCCTTTCTACTGCTCTTCCTCTGATTTTGGTGGGAATGCTGAACATGGGGAAGCAATGGGAGCCTCCGTGGAGTTCCCTACATCCTTCTGTAATGTCAGGAGACATTTTTCCTGTTGTCTTCTTACAGTTTCTCCTGTTGCTGCTCTGTGGCTTCCGCATGACTAGCTTGTTCACAGGCAGGCTGGTGTTTTTTGCCTTTTTTAAAGGGAAAAGAAAACCCCAAACCTCGGGAAATGCACGGGCTGCCAATCTGCGTGATTACTAAGTGCTGTGGGCCATGTGATGCACCTGCTAATTTGCTGATGGGATGGCCACAAGCAAAGCCCAGGTGGATCGCCCAGAGTGGAGATCTGCCCTGGACCCCCTGGGCAGGCAGGGATGCACCTCCCATCGATGGGACAGGCACAGGCACACACCACGGTATTGCCCTGCTTTTCTACTCACCGACCTTCCCTCTTCCAGAGCCCCTTTACTCTGGCAGACAGGACCCTAAGCAGCACTGCTGGTGCTTGAAATGCATTTTCTTTGTGCTGGAGGAGGCAGGAAAGATCTTTGTCCCTGGCATGAGGCAGGGGCATCTATGCCCTGACCCATCAGCTGTTCCCAGGAGGAATTGCGCTGCTTCTTCTCCACTTTAAAACACATAACAGAAACATCTGAAGCCATTGCTTTTGCTCTTTCAGCCCCGCCAGAGTGGCTTTGCTGCAGTTATTCTTTCAAACTTTTTCTTCCAGCGATGCTGGACTCGCATGACATAGAAAGGGTATGGAGAGATGGATAACTTGCTGTAATCCTTTTTGTGGCTGATAACGATGTTGCAAGGCTTCATTGAAGCCTTGCACTGAGGTAAATTATTTCTCAATGTCTAATTCCATTATTGAGAGATGTGGGGGGCAAATTCCCCTCCAGCCCACTGGAAGAGCCAGGACTGCACTAACTGGATCAAGACTTGGAGAATTGGTCACTGGTGAGGGGACACTTCCTGGAGCAGGAGGGTGAGATGGAGACAATAGTTCAGTCACCCCTGAAAATTAGAAGTTCAAAGATTTAAAGATTCAAAGATTTTTAAAATGGTTTCAGCTATTTATTGCTAAAGTAACCTTCTGCCCTTATGCTGTGCTGTCTTGCTGAGTCTGCGGGCACAGCACTGTTGCAGCCTTTTGCTTTATTTTTGCTGGGCAGCTGCAAACTAGCAAGAAATTACCC